GGGGAGGTGGCCTCAGGCTGGGTGAGGGGCCTCGGGTTGGGTGGGGGTCTCCGGCTGGGTAAGAGGTCTCAGGCTGGGTGGGGATTTCAGGCTGGGGATGGAGGTCTCAGGCTGGGTGAGGGGTCTCAGGCTGGGTGAGGGGTCTCAGGCTGAATAGGGGGGGGTCTCATGCTGGATAGGAGGGTCTCGGGCTGGGTGAGGGGTCTCAGGCTTGGTGAGGGGATCTTGTCCTTCCCGTGCCCCTCCCTGAGCAGCCTTGGCAGAGGGTGGGAGCATGAGATGCTCCCCCCCACCCCGGGTGCTGGGAGCCGCCCGGGACCCTCCGGCCTTCCCCAACCCCAGCACGGACAGGGTGAGACCCCCGCCCCCGAGCAGTGCGGGGAGTGGGGCACAGACACACGTGCCCCCCCTCACCCAGCTCGGGGCTGGGGGGCTGTGCAGGGTCCATCCCCAGCAAGGACAGCGTTCCCTGCCCCCSCTTTCTCYGCTCCCACCCCACACGGAGCCCCCCAGAACCACGAATCGGGAGCGGTTTTGGGGTTCACCCTCCACCGCCACGGCAAGGAGGAGCCCGGGGGTGCTGCCGGGGCTGGGGGSCTGCACCGTGCCCCTCCACGCCCCCCCTCACCGCTCACCCCCCCAGGCGTGGGCTTCGCCACGCGGCAAGTGGCCGGCTTCACCAAGCCCACCACCATCATCGAGCTGGACGGCGACAAGGTCACCGTGAAGACCCAGAGCACCTTCAAGAACACCGAGATCTCCTTCAAACTGGGCGAGGAGTTCGACGAGACCACGGCGGACGACAGGAACGTCAAGGTGAGCCCCCCGCCCCCGCCCTGCGGCACCCCTGGAGGGCTCTGCAGGCTCCGTGGGCATGGTGTCACCAGCCCATGGGGCTCCGTGGGGATGGTTTCACCGGCCCGGGGATCCGTGGGGATGGTTTCACCGGCCCAGGGCTCCGGGGCTCCATCCTGGCCGCCCGTGGGAGGGGAGCCCCGCTCTGCCCGAGGGAGCCTGGTCCCGTCCAGGCACTCCCCCAGTCCGAGCCCGGTTTGCAGCCGGGTTGCCCCGGGAGCGGGACGGGCCCGCAGCTGTCGGGGCSGTTGTGCAAGAGCCGGGCTGGCGAGTGCCAGCTCGCTCAAGAGAGTGTGGAAGTGTCCCTGCTCCGGGGGAAGAGGGGCACGGGAGTTCTTTGCAGAGCCCCCCGAAGCTGAGYCCCCTCTGTGCCTCCCTCCCCCGCAGGCAGGGACAGGACAGAACCCCCGGACAGTCCCACCTGGCCGCTGCCTCCCCAGGGCCCCTGGGGAACTCAAAAGCTCCCCAGCCGGTCTGCTCCTCCCTGAGAGAGCGAGGGATAAAATCACCTGAGGGAGAGCAGCTCCTTTGCCGGCCTCTCCTGCCCTGGAGGGACATTTTCCCTGGAAGGAACGGCCCAGCTCCTGATTTTACCTCGATTTCAGCTGCTGCTCCCGTGCCCCATTAAAYGCTCTTCGAGGGAGCAGCGGCAGCGCTGTGCCCCACACCCAGCCCGGGGGGCACCTCCGGGAAAAAAACCCTTTCGTGGCCCCAAAGCAGGAAGCACGAAGGGCTGGGCACGGCGGGAGGCTGGGGGAAGGGGCTGAGTGTGATCCCTCCCCACCGTGCTCCCTCCCACCCGCCCCAGTCCTGGAACCTGTTCAAGCAGCAGGAACGTGTGACCGGCCCGGAGYTGCTGCCACAGCCCAGGACGTGCCCTTGGGGTGCCCCTCGGCCCGGGGCCAGAGGGCACATGATGGGTCAGCGGGGCCGGGACGGCTGCCCGAGCCACGGGGCTGGACAGGATGGGGCGGGGAGTCAGCCATGGGGTGTGTGGGGTTGTGGGGCACCCAGACTGAAGGGGAATGGTTTGGGTTGGAGAGACGTTAAAGCCCACCCAGTGCCACTCYTGCCATAGCAGGGACATCTCCCACTGTCCCAGGTGCTCCCAGCCCCAATGTCCAGCCTGGCCTTGGGCACTCAAAGGGATCCAGGGGCAGCCACAGCTGCTCTGGGAATTCCATCCCAGCCYCTCCCCACCCTCCCAGGGAACAATCCCTTCCCAATATCCCATCCATCCCTGCCCTCTGGCACTGGGCTCCAGGGCTGGGGGACACCCAAATCCTGCGGGTACCCAAACTTTGGGGCACGAGCAGTGGGAGAGCCCGGCTGTGGGGAGAAKTGGGATCTGAGGGAGCCCCCAGAGCGTTGTGGAGCCCTGGGGCTGGGGGACACCCGAGCTCCGGACAGAGCCCGGCTCTGGACGGGCTGGGTGGGGGGCACGGGGCACGATGGCGACAGGCGGCCCGTGCCAGTGCCGGTGGCAGCGGCTGTCCTGGCAAAACCCCGTCCCTGTCACAGTAACCTTGGCACGGGCCGGGCTCTCGAGCTGAGTCAGCAGCGGGGCTGTGCGAACCGCAGCGCGGCGAGCAGGGGCGGGGCTGCGCCATCAGCCCCTCCGAAAAGCCGCGCCGGGCCCTAGGGGCCGGAGGAGCTCCGCTCCGAGCCCCGATCCCCGATCCCTGATCCCCGATCCCTGCTCCGCCTCTCGGGTTCCCGCCGGGGCCAGTGAGCCGCGCTCGGGAGCCGCGCCYGGGACAGGTCCCGGTGGCCCCGGAGAGGGTTGTGGCCCTGGGCAGGGCTCCCGGGCTGGCCCCGGGGACAGAGGGCAAGGTGACCGTGCCGGTGGCACCGGGGGGTGACGGGGGGGCAGCTGAGGCTGTGGCCCAGGGCAGGATCTGGGCCGGGCTGAGCAGCACTGACCGTGCCAGGCGGGGATGGTGCCAACTGGGCACCCCTACAGTGGCACCCACAGGCTGACCCCGAGCCCTGCGGGGCTCCAGGGTCCCCTCGGAGGGATAAAMCCCCCACCCCGCGCTCCAAAAGCCCAGGGAGAAAGCTGATGGTGGCTGTCCATCCCTCCCTGCAGTCCGTGGTCAAGCTGGATGGAGGCAAACTCGTCCACGTGCAGAAGTGGGATGGAAAGGAGACATCRCTGGTGCGGGAGCTGAAGGATGGGAAGTTAATCCTGGTAAGGGCACAGGAACGRTTGGGAGTGGGAAGAGCTGGGGCCRGGGGCTGGGCAGGGCAGCGCTAATCCYCCTCCCCACCCCTCTGCCCCCAGACTCTCACCATGGGCAGCGTCGTCTCCACCCGCACYTACGAGAAGGCCACATAGCCGCTGTCCCGGTCCCCTGCCTGTCACCCGGTGCCACAGCGTCCCCAYCTCCCGGCCCCGTGCCACACACGGCTTTCCCGTGGGGTCGGAGCTGCTGCCGTGCCGGTGCTACGCCTGTCCCTGCCCAGTGCCTCCAGGGACTCGGGTGGGACTTTGTTGGTTTGTTGTTGGGTTCTTTTTTAATTCACAGTGGGAAAAATCACATGGAAAACCAATAAAGGCCATGTTGTTACAGCTCTGTGTTCCGTGTGCTCAGGAAAAGGCGTTCAGGACATGGCCCACCCCAGGGCTGAGGCAGGCTGCGGTCAGCGGGGCAGCCCTGGGCTTCAGCCAGCCCAGACACACTGGCAGGGATGGGGTTAATGGCCAGCGAGCCCAGTAGCCCATGCCAGCTGCTTGTCCGAGCTGTGGGAATCAGTTCTGTGCTTTCACAGAGGGAATGTTCACCAGAGCTTGGGATCCAGGAATGCCCCCTCCCTTGCCTGGGATCCAGGAATGCCCCCTCCCTTCCCCGGGATCCAGGAATGCTCCCTCCCTTCCCCGGGATCCAGGAATGCTCCCTCCCTTCCCCGGGATCCAGGAATGCTCCCTCCCTTCCCCGGGATCCAGGAATGCTCCCTCCCTTCCCCGGGATCCAGGAATGCTCCCTCCCTTCCCCGGGATCCAGGAATGCYCCCTCCCTTCCCCGGGATCCAGGAATGCYCCCTCCCTTCCCCGGGATCCAGGAATGCYCCCTCCCTTCCCCGGGATCCAGGAATGCCCCCTCCCTTCCCCGGGATCCAGGAATGCTCCCTCCCTTCCCCGGGATCCAGGAATGCTCTAGTGGGGCGGGAGGGAGCCCCAGCACCGGGGCAGGACCACGGACTCACCTGGAAAAAAGGTGCTGAGCTCTCAACTCCCCGGGTTTGGGAAGGGAACTGGCCCCAAAGTGGGATGCAGCGATGAGGAACAGGGACGGAAAGCGCAGGGAAGGGAAAAGGGAAAAGGGAGCGGCTGCAGCAGCAAGCCCATCTCCTGCTCCTGCGATGCCAACGGGCAGTGCCAGCCCCATCCTCAGCTCCCTGCAGAGCCAGAGCCCACAGGAGCCGCTCCTTCCCCGTTCCCTCGGCACATCTGTCCYGRCARGGCTGAGCTCCTGGCACGCTCCTCYTGCMATCCCTTCCCCTGACCTTCAGCTCCAGTTACAAGATTTATGCTCCTTCCAGAAGGTTTCTCCTATGGGTTACCTTACCACACACCCCCTTCCCACCCCTGGGAACCTCGGCAAGCAGCCAGAACTTCCCAAAAGAACCTTCTCCTGTCCCCTCCACACAGCCAGTCCTGTTTCTCCCCTGCCCAAGATGAAGTGTGGAGGGTGCAGAAGAAAGGAGCTGGTACAAAGTGCAGCTGGAGGGGGCAGAGATTTATTTTCCATCCCTTTCCAGGCAGCAAACACTCCACAGTTAATGTTTACTCCCAGTCTCTGCACTCCCCCATTCGCTCCTTGCTCCTCCACTCCCAGTGTTTGCAGAGACCAAGGGAGCCGGGGCAGCTTTGCAGCCCAGAGCCCTGTGMCAGGGCATTGTGGTGCCATCCCAGAGCCCTGTCCCCAGCACGGTGTGGGCCTGGTTGTGCCAGCCCAGSCTCTGCAGGCCACTGGGACAAGGCTAATGGCAGCCAGGCTCCTGATGGATCCAAACACGAGGCTGTTGCACGGCAGAGGTGCCCTGGAGGGTGTCCTGAGCCCRTGCTGGCAGCAGCTGTGACAGAAARGGGCAGCCTGTGCCCAAGGTGACAGCACACCGTGTAGCAAGGCCAACACCTATAAGAGCACCAGGTGTTAATCTGGTCACCTCCCTGGCCAGCTCTGCTCCCTGACACCCTCCTTAGCTTCTTTCCTTGAACAGATCAGCCCCTCTGGAGCCGGGCTGGGAGAGTTGGGGGTGCTCACCTGTACAAAAGGCTCCAGGGAGAGCTTGGGCTGCTTTGAGCAGGAACCTCCTGTCCCTGGAGCAGAAGGGCTGATCCCTGCCAGCTCCTCAAGCTGTGCACAGGGACCAGCCATGGCAGCGCCCCAGCCCGCCCTGTTCCTCCCAAGGCTACTTCTTGTGCTGCTTCTTCTTCTTCTTCTTCTTCTTCTTCTTGGAGTGCTTGGGCCTCTTGCTGGAGGGCTGATCTTCGTCACTGTCCGAGGACGAGCTGGACGAGTCTGATTCCGAGGATTGCTTGGCCCTGTGCTTCTTCTTCTTCTTCTCCTGGAAAAACAAAAGAGAAGCCTGGGAATGTGGGAACRCTCACCAGGGCAGCGAGGGCCTTTCTGGGCCTGTTCCTGCATGGAAAGGGCACCGTGCCCCAGGAGCCAGGAATTCATCACAGGGCACGGCAGAAATTGGAGCAGAGCGGCAGCAACGTGGAAAGACAAGCCTGGAAAATGCTGGATAATTCATGGAAGGAGAGCCCTTGCCCTCACTCCATCATTTCACTGCTCTCTATTAACACAAGTCCGAAGGATAAAGTTTTTTTGCCCAGAAAATGAGTTCCTAAACTTTTGTTTCTAAATGTTTCTAAGCATCCCTGCAGCCCCATCCTGCCAGGATGAGAGTCCTGGAGCATCCAAACTCTCCCTGAGAGCCCACTGCAGCTTCCTGCACAAGGGATGAGCTCAGTGCCCTTCTGCAGGACGGGGATCTTTGCACAACCTCCCTGCACATTTCACCACCCCCTCCTGTTTCCCAACTTCCTCTGCATCCTGCTTCCCCGACTTCCTCTGCACCCCTTACAGCTCCTCAACTTCCCACTGTACCTCTTACTGTTCCCCAACTTCCTCTGCACCTCATCCTGCTCCCCAACTTCCCACTGCATCCCTTACTGCTCCTCAATTTCCTCTGCACCCCTTACTGCTCCTCAATTTCCTCTGCACCCCATCCTGCTTCCCCAACTTCCTCTGCACCCCATCCTGCTCCCCAACTTCCCACTGCATCCCTTACTGCTCCTCAATTTCCTCTGCACCCCTTACTGCTCCCCAATTTCCTCTGCACCCCATCCTGCTTCCCCAACTTCCTCTGCACCCCATCCTGCTCCCCAACTTCCCACTGCATCCCTTACTGCTCCTCAATTTCCTCTGCACCCCATCCTGCTCCCCAATTTCCTCCGCACCCTSTCCTGTTCCCAAACTCCTTTCCCACCCTCCTCTCTGCTCCCCAGCTTCCCTTGAAGCTCTCCAGGTGAGCACCCCCAGCTCTCCCAGCCCAGCTCCAGAGGGGCTGATCAGGAATTGTTGCCATGTTCAAGGTGAGAAGCCAGGGAGGGTTCCAGGGAGCAGAGCTAGCCATGGAGGCTACCAGAGCCTGGGACAGATTTGAACAGCCCCGGTGAGGAATGTGGCCCAGCAGGCTCAGCTCAGGGCTCTGACCAACCCAGCTTTTGAGATTTTTGTGCTCAGAGTGAGCTCCACCTGCCCAAATCGGATTGGGTGTCCAAGCAGCAGGCCCAGGCTGTCAGGTGGGGAAAAAGGAGCAGGCAGCYCATTAATGGCAATAGAACAACTGCAATTTGAGGGAGCTGGAAGAGCAAAGACAGGACTTGGAGCTGAGCACCAAGCAGTGCCCTCCGGCACTGCAGGAAATGGAGCAGAGRATGGAATCATTCCACACCCTCAGTGCTTTTTAGCTTCACAACAGCACTGCAAATGTCACCCCAAAGCGAGCCTATTCTCCTGTGGGATAACAACAGACTCACCACACAGCCCCTGACCCATGATGAGAGGCAGAAACAAATCCTCCCAGGCTGGAGAAGAGGATKGGAAGGAGTTAAACCTTCCACAGAATGGGATGCAGCAAGGAGAATTTTCTCAAGCTTTTCCAGCCTGTGCACATKGTGAGAAAGTTTGAGCAGACCTTCACAGCCAACAGAGCTTCAGCTTCATTCCAGAGCTTGGGAAAGTTTCTCAGGATGTGAGGGCTGGAGAYGGGACAGGATGTCACACACACTCCTGGGGATGCAACAGGGGACATCAAAGCACACATGGGCACTGTGCTGGCTGGACAAAACCAGCAAACCCTCAGCCTCCCCTTCCTGGGGGCGTCAAACAGCCAACATCGCTCCAAGACAGACAAAGTCCTTCTGGGGCACACAGTGGGGTTCTTGGGGTGTCCTGTGCAGGGCCAGGAGCTGACTCAGTGATCCCTGTGTGTGCCGTTTACAGTTCCATCATTGTTCCAGTGCAGGCATCAGAGCACAGCAGCACAGCCTGGGCTGGGAATGCAGCACCAAGAGCTGAGCATGGGGCTGTCCCTGGATCCCTGGGAGTGTCCAGGGCCAGGTGGGACGGGGCTTGGAGCCACCTGGGACAGTGGAAGGTGTCCCCATGGCAGGGATGGGATGGGATGGGCTTTAAGGTCCTCCCAACCCAAAGCATTCCACAGTTTTAGGATTTTCAGTAGCAGGAGGCAGAGCTGCTGCAAAACCCTTCTGCACAAGCAGAATTCTGCAGCCAGACGACAGCTTTCCCTAAATCCAGGATCCCAACCCCGGGAGATCAGCACTTGCACTGGTTACCAGGGAATTCAGTGTGCAGGGGGTGTTTCCAGCTCAGGGACTGATAGAGGGGCACAGCCCAGCCCTGCTGGACAGGGCTCAGCTCAGCTCTGGGCACAGCCAGAGCCCCAAACACTGCATTTTGGGGCAATATTTGGAAAGGATTTGGCCCCATGAGCTCTCAGTGCAGAGGGTTCACAACACACAGAGCTGCACTTTAGGGTTCCTCGCATTTCCTGCCCCACCTATGCAACAATCTCACCAAATGTGTTTCAAAACCTCTCTCCAGAGCCCTGTTGGGAGCTGCCAGTGGAACAGCAACAGCCTGGGCTGGAGTCTGAGTGCTGGTTTTTGTGGAATTCCTTCCCTGCTGCTCCAAAAACCGCTCCAAGAGGGGCCCCTGCAGCACTCAGGGCTCCCTCATGCCCTTTGTGAAGAACATGGCTCCAGGCTGTGCTTGGAGAATGTCACAACAGCTCATTCYTCCTGAAGGTATTTGGGCTTGAGATAAGAGGGGAGTGCCCAGAACTCCCCAAGAAGTTGAAATATTTTTCACCAGAKCCTTTTGTGGAGTTGTGACTCATTCCAAGGTTTTGTGTCTATCCTTGTGAAAAATTTGAACRGATTTCCAACGTCTGTCTGCATCTCCAGGGCTGGGCTAGGAATCCTTCTAGGCTCCCTAATTTTATTCTTTGTTCTTATTCTACCAATTTCACTCCAAACAAGATTCATTACATCAATCTAAAGGTATTTTTGCATCTTATTTTTGAGGAGCAGTCAGAATGAATCTGAGGAGAAGAATCAGTAAATAAACATAGATTCAGAAAAGCAGGGATTAAGCACAATGTGTGAAGGGCTGTGCCCTCTTAATGCCATGGAGGAACCAGTAAAACCAGTAAAACTGAGGCTGGACCAAGGCTGGATGAGCCAMAGAACACCACTCAGGTGTGGTTTTCACACGAACGTCTGCAGGCAGAAATCTTCCCCAAGGTGAGGAAAAGTGCAGCAAAATCTGAAAAAAAGCCCCAATCCCAATGGCCATCCCAAAGCACCTCAGGCACGAGCTGATCCGTGTGTCTGAGCAGAAGCTGCAGAAATGTGGAGAATTTCAATCCAAGGGGTTATCCCTCGGTCAGCACTGCAGGTTTTTTTTTTTGGAAGCAGGATGGAAAGGGTTCAGCCATTCCCAGCCTCCCTCCTCCCACACAAGCCCAGCAGGGCCACTGCTGTTCCCACAGCAGCTCSCTCACCTCGTGACCCCAGGGGGACAAGGGACACCGAGCCTGGGCCTGTCCAGCTGTCCCAGATGGGCTCAGGGGCTCCTGCACATCCCAGCCACAGCACCACGGAATGGGGGAATTGCTCAGGTTGGAAAAGCCCTCCAGGACCATCCAACCATGGCCTCAGCAGCACGGGGGAAGAGTCGGAAGATGGAAGAGTTTATTTCTTGTATCTAGAAGTGGATTGTGGCTGCCCCTGGATCCCTGGCAGTGTCCAGGATGGGGCTGGGAGCAGCCTGGGACAGTGGGAGGTGTCCCTGCCATGGCAGGGGGGGCACTGGGTGGGATTTAAGGTCCTTCCAACCCAAACCACTCCGGGATTCTGGGAGTACTCATGAACCACATCCCCAAGTGCCACATGCACGTGGGTTCAGGAGCACATCAGGGATGGGAACTCCACCAGTGCCCTGCACAGTTTGATCAACCCTTTCTGAGAAGGATTTTCCCAATTTTCAGTCTAAACCTGCCCTGGCCCAGCCTGAGGCCATTCCCTCTCCTCCTGTCCCTGTTCCCTGGAGCAGAGCCCGACCCCCCTGGCTGCCCCCTCCTGTCAGGGAGTTGTGCAGAGCCACAAGGTCCCAAATGATCCCCCTTTGCTCCAGGCTGAGCCCCTTTCCCAGCTCCCTCAGCTTCTCCTGGGGCTCCAGCCCCTTCCCCAGCCCTGTTTCCCTTCCCTGAACACTCTCCAGCATCTCCCCTTCTCCTTCCAGTCACTCATTTTCTCAGCGGTTACAGGAGCCAGGTCAGAGCTCACAGCCCCAATGCCATCAGGGAGCTCTGCCACCTCACAGAGTGTCCCTGACACTGTCCCAGTGCACAGACCCAAAGCTGTCCCCATCCTGTAAATGCTGCAGGGCTCAGGCAGGACGGAAAAAAAGGAGCTAAGGATATCCCTGGGAAGGCAAGGGGAGAAAAAAGGGGGGAAGGATCCTGAAGTAGCTCAGGAGAGGAAACTCCAGGAGAAGGGAAAAGCACCCAGAAACTGCAAGGAAACAGATCCAGGAAAGCACAGAATGCTGATCCCAAACAGCTAAAAATGTCAATTTTCCTGCTCTGCCACTCGATGGAAAGGGGATCACGGGGGAGCYGGCAGCTCCCTCCTACCCATTTCAGAACCCCAGCCCCACACTGATGTCACAGCTGTGGGATGGGACAGGTCAGCAAGGGGACTGTCCCTGACTCCACAGAGCCATTTCCATGGGCTGTAAACCCCCGGAGCTCCAGGCATGCAGGGGAACACATGGAAGCTCCCAGACAGGATCTCAGCAGGCACTCGAGACTACAAGGGAACTATTCATCTCCAGGATCCCACATCCTGCCCCCAAAAAAGCTCCCAGTTTTATTATTCCAGCTCTGGAAAACATGTGAAAACTTTTGATGTCATCCTTGAGAAGGGAGGGAGATCAAAGGAATGAGAGAGATTTGAAGGAAAGTTGCTCATCTGCCAACTGCCCCCAAAAAAACCAGAACAAATTGAGGAAAGTGACCCCATATCCTGTGGGGTCAGCAAGGCAAGGTTCCACTGGGAATCCCCATTCTGGTGGATGGGCAGGGATGGGATAACGAGCTATTAGTGCACCTCCAAGTGTAATTTTTYCCCACAATATTTAAATAATTTGAGCCTTTCCCACCTTTTCTGCCTGTTGCCCCTCTCCGGGGACACAGGGAGGTCACAGAGTTGGAAAAAGGGGAAAAATAAAGAGAAAGGCTTTGGAAGAATAATTAAAAGTGCGACTGTGAAGGGGCTGATGGAAGAGTTTATTGAAGTCTGGATTTATTGGATCCCTGCCATGGCTGGGGTGGYACTGGGTGGRATTTAAGGTCCCTTCCAACCCAAACCACTGAGATTCCGTGAAAAAAACCAAACCTGACCACCAAAAGCTCCTGTTTTGGGTTCAAGCCCCACCTGTGTTTTATTTTCTCCCATCCTGCTCCAAACCAGAGGTCAAACAGTGCCTGGCAAAGGTCTCTTATCTCAAGCCATTTTCACAGGGACAGAAATTCCTCTGGRGCTGGGATCGCTCCCAGTGCAAACACAGCCAGGGATTTTCCCCCAAAGTGTGCCAATAAATCCAATTCCYGTGGCTGTGGCTGGGTCAGGACACCCCCTGGAGCCAGCAGGGCACCGAGTTCACATCAAAGAAAGGTGTGAGGGCAGGAAAAGGGAGGGAAACAGGTCATTGGCAGGAATCACAGAAATTCAGGCCACTGAAGCAATTCCTACAGAGCCTTACAAAGAACAGGAAAAAAAAAATCACCTTTTTCTCACTGTAAGGAATATCTTTGTTCCTGTGTGTTGTAGCACAAAATCAGCTTAAACACAGTTTGACAGGAATAAAAGGAGAAAGCCTAAGAATTCCTAAAAAATCACTGGAGGAGATCCCTGTTTTGCTACAAAATTTGCACAAAACGGAGCCAACTTCTCAGCCCAGAGCTGGTTACTCCTACCCACATTGCTGTAGTAACTCAGTTGTAACTCCAGAATAAATCACCCATCCCCCTTTCCCTTCTCCAGGCCAACCAGAGGTCACCTCRTACCTTTTTCCTTTTCTTTGAAGGCTCCTCAGCCTGGCTGGTCTTTTTATCTCCTTCCTGTCCTGCTGCTGCCCCCTCCTCTTCCTCCTCTTCTGGAATGAGGCTGTATTTGGTCCCTCCAGGCTGCATGAAACACTCCTTGGCAAAGTGACCTGGAAAAAAMGGTGTTTGAAGGTAAAACCCATCCCCTTGTCCTTTTTTTTTTTTTCTTAACAAATGCATTTCACACCCCTGAAGTGCTGCCAAGGCTCTGTTTTTATTATTAGTAACAAGGAGAAAATCTAGGCTGGACATTTTTTATCCTAAAATTTCAGTCAGTTTAACCTGTCCCGATCAAACAGGACAGAGAACAAACACAACCCAGGTTGTTCTGGAGGGATTAGTCAGGCAAAAACGGAAATATTCTTGTCTCAACAAGTAAAAATGTGTCTGTGCATGGGTTTAATCAGCACAGAAAAGAGTGGGGGAAAGGGAAATTGGTGTGATTGGCACCTGGAAAATGAGCTGAAGCCACAAAGAGAGGGAAATTGAGCTCATCTGGTTCCACCCTTTCTACTCTGGAGACATCAAAGTTGACCTACTAAGAGCTGCAGTGGAAATTTGGRGAGCTGGCACCTGCTGTTACGAGGAGACACCATTATTAAAAATCAGATTGGAAATAGGCAGAATCATGGTTTTGGGGAGTTTTTTAAAATAGTATTTTATATATAATAGCTCCTTAAATAGTATTAATTCTTTAAAATAGTATTTAATATATAATAGTTCCTTAAATAGTATTCTTTAAAACAGTATTTTATATAAAATACCTCTTTAAGTAGTATTAAATCCTTTAAAAAATAGTATTTTAAAGAGTTTTCTCCCACTCCAGAGCCCATCCTCATCATTAACCTCCTCCAGAACAGCATGAACCCCATTAACCATTTACTGTAAATAATCTAAGTAGGGCACAGCACAAACTCCTGCAAAAAAAAAAGAAAAAAAAGTACTTTACACCTCAGCAACTTGAAGAAAGGCACTGAAAGGCACCACAAGAGTCACCTCCACCCTGCTGGAGAAGGCAGGACATTCCACAAGGTTACAAACCCCTATATTTGGTTTTAGCCCTAAGACAACAAGGAATTTGGAACTCAGGAACGATCTGGAACTTCCCTGGATGGTTTTTCACAGTGGGATCACCTGGTGAGGGTTTGTTCACTTCTTAAAAACCAAAAGCAGAGCAAGATCTGAGCTCTGAGACTCAGGAACCAAATGGTGCAGGGACAGAATGTGTCCTGGACTGTGCCCAGCAGGGAGGACAGGAGTGGATGGCACCAGGAGGAGTCACAGAGCAGTTGGGGTTGGATGGGACCTCCGGAGATCACCCAGGAGCAGGTGACACAGGGACACATCCAGGGGGTTGGCATGGATCCCAAACCAGAGAGGGAAACTCCAGTCCCTCCATGGGCAGCTGTTACAGCTCTGCCACCCTCATGGACAGTTGTTCCTYGTGGTGAGGTGGAACTTGTTGAGTTTCAGTTTATGGCCATCACTCCTTGTCCTGCCACTGAACAGAGCCTGGCACCATCCTCTGCCAGCACTTGGGGGTATTTGTATGGATTGATGGGACATTTGGATGGATTGTTGGGATATTTGTATGGATTTAGATTGATATTTGTATGGATCCATGGGATAATTGTATGGATTCATGGGATAATTGTATGGATTGATGGGATATCAAATGGATTGATGGGATTTTTGGATGGGTTCATGGGATATTTGTATGGATCGATGGGATATTTGTATGGATTCATGGGATATTGGTACAGATCAATGGGATATTGGTATGAATCAATGGGATATTGGTACGGATCGATGGGATATTGGTATGGATTGATGGGACATTGGCACGGATCAATGGGATATTGGTATGGATTGATGGGATATTGGCACGGATCAATGGGATATTGGTACACATCAATGGGATACTGGTATGGATTGATGGGATATTGGTACAGAACGATGGGATATTGGTATGGATCGATGGGATATTGGTATGGATCGATGGGATATTGGTACGGATCGATAGGATTTTTGTATGGACTGATGGGATTCCCTTTCAGATTCTTCTTCTCCACAATAACCAGGCCCAGCTCCCTCAATGTCTCCTCATCTCTCCAGTCCTCTCCAGTGGCTTCCACTGGCCTCTCCCCAGTAGCCCAAAGGGGTGTGATTTTAAGGAATACAGTTCTTTTTTTTTTGAAAAGGATTTGAACAAAGTCTTTTGTTTCTGTAACAAGTGATAAAAAGTGCCTCCTCTAAAGGAGAAATATGGAACCAAAATTCAGTCCTTTTACACAACCATGTGTAACCATGACAGCAGGCTGYTCCCAGATGCCTGGAAGTGTCCAAGGCCAGGCTGGATGGGGTTTGGAGTAAACTGGGGAGGTGTCCCTGGGGACTGGAWTGAGATGAGCTTTAAGGTCCTTTCCAACCCCAACCATTTTAGGATTCTAACCACGAGACAGACATTGATATAACCCTACCAAGGGTCACCACCTGGCTGGGACAAGGCAATGAAAAAGCAGCAGAACCCACCTTTGCAGCCACATTTCTTGCACACCGTGTTCAGCACGGCCTCAAGGGTGATCTTCTGGCTCGTGTAGTCCCTGAAGGTGCGTTTCTTCCTCTCATCCTGACTRGGGAGAGAAGGACAGCTCCATTTTCAATCCACTCTCATCCTTAATCCTGCATTTTTGGATGAACACACCCTAACAAGGTTGTTGGAGGTTGCTCTCAAAGTAAAACTTCTAAAGTCAAAGAGCAGAGCTGGCCTGGCCTTGGACACTTCCAGGGATCCAGGATGGCCACAGCTTCTCTGGGAATCKGTGCCAGGACCTCCCCACCCTCCCAGGGAAGGATTCTGGGTCATTCCTGTGATTCTTGTGCCTTAAATTCCCTGAAGAGAAGGGGCTGGAGCCCCAGGAGCAGCT